CTGGGATCATGACCTGAGCCGAAGACAGACGATTAACGACTGAGCCACCCAGGCGCCCCTCCGGTTTCTTTTTTAAAAGCTCCAGATACCCTGGTCTCTACAGCCAGAGCTTCACCAGATTGGTTATTCTAAACTCAGATCTAAACTCAGATAAAATACAGTTGTAGGGTATACCGTTTGGCATGTTCGTAATTATGTTCTGAGACTGAAGGTCATTTACCTCCTTCCTGTCCTTTCCAGAGGTAGCCTGGAATGGGAACAGTACTTTAAGAAGAGTATTTTCTTCTTCATTTAATACTTCATTTTCCAAATGGTTAGGGAGACTCTTTAACCTTTTGGGGAGATCAGAGGCGGAAACTGACTTTTCACTGGATAGAAGCAAGTAAAATCGGGCCTTGGGAACAGTGTTTGGACTTGGGAGTCTAAACTTTTGGTGGGACAGAGTCCTGAGAGGGTGAGCAGGCGGATATACAAGGCATCTGCCCGACTCTGGCCTGGCGTGTTGTAGATATGAATAAAAAGTTTCCAAATAATGAATTCTTTCCCTGAGAGCCAGGAAATAAGCTTAAAGCTTGGTGTATAATCCAAGGCCATTAGAGGAATAGGCAAAATTTTCACAAAGCCCTGTCATTCCCTTGCATTCAGTCAGTGGTTCCCCAATTTGAGTATCAGCATTGCCTGGAACACCGGGGTTTTTGATGGGTATTAAGTTTCAGTTTTGCTAGATGAATACATTCTAGAAATCTGCTGTGCAACACAGTGCCTATCATTAACAATGTGGTATTGTGTACTTCAGAATTTGTTAAGAGGGTAGATCTCATGTTAAGTGCTCTTACCACAAAAACAAAAAACAAAACGGAATAAAGGAAACTCTGGGAGGTGTTGGATGTGTCTATTACCTTGATTGTGTAATGGTATCCTGGGTGTTTGCCTATGTCCAAACTTATCAAAGTGTATGCATTATACATGCAGGTCTTTGCATATCAAAATACCTCAATAAAGCTGTTAAAAAAAACCCCTCGGATGAAAAAACAACAACACAGATTGCAGAGCCTCACTTGCAATTTCTGGGGTGAAGCCTGATAATTGACATTTATAAAAGTTCCCTGGTAAGAACTATTGAACTGTATTAAAAGTCTTGCCCAGGCAGGGAGGAAAGCCAATTATTTCGGTAACCTGGACCCTGGCATGGCGGTCTCCTTTATACTCATCAAACTGATCCAGTGGGTGGAGGTCAGACCTGCTTTGAGGAAGACTTCCATGTTCAAGGAGGAAGAATTGTTCCAACAAAGCTCCTTACCTAGAATCCCTCAATGCTCAGGAGCTTCAAATACCAGTTAATTAGAAAATTTGCCTTTGTTGTTTACACTTTTGCTGAAAACACATAATTATTATTAAAGAATAAAACAATATAGAGAGAGTAAAATTTCCCCAAATTTCCCCTGGAGCAGTGATTCTCGGAGAACTACTTGGCCATATCTGGAGACACTTGGTTGTCACTCCTGGGGGAGATGCATCTAGTGAGTAGAGGCCAAGGATGCTGCTCACTTCCTACAATGCAGAGGACAGCCCCACAACAAAGGGTTTTCCAACCCAAAATCTCAAAGGTGCTGAGATTTAGAGTCCCTCTTTTTTTTTTTTTTTTAAGA